TAAAAAATCGTTTTGAAGAGGGAATAAATGTTCATGTTTTGTCACACGCAAACCAAACATCGCAGCGAATGATATAAGTTGACATTGCAGACGGCCTTTAGCTCCAGTTTCCTCGACATGGTTGTGTCACATGCCCTCGCTAATATTGCCGTCAACTCGTCCACATTCAGGTATTGATGGTACTTTTGTTAGACAGCGTAACTTTCAGATTTTCCGTAGCTTCCAGTAGGCTGTGCCCTCCTAGCGTTGGTGAAAAAATCATGAAAAAATCACCAGCATTCATTATGAAATGAATTTTTCATCCATAGTGAACTTTGATGAATTTAAGTGATTTTTTCAGCCCTGGTTGGTACATCTGCTTCCCCACTACACTACCCAAGCATTGAAGTCTGATGCAACTGCTCCATCGTCCACCTAGGGGGCTCGTAGCAACTGCATATGAAGATTCCGTTGATTATGGCGATCGCGAATCCTTCGTATGTGCTCGCAAGCACTTCTTCAATAAGGTATCTGCTCATAACTTGTATTTTAGCCATCCCAGCTCCATCGGCCACCCATTTACCGTTATCGAGAGGAATTCGATACGGTTTTGCAATGATTGCAAAGTCACATTTTGCTCCCGTTGTCGACTACCACTGCAGTGCTGTGCAGTGCCGCAATGATTGAGGTTTATTTGGGTTACCTCCATTACTTTTGGCCCATCATCGCCTTTTTGTACGCTGGGCATTTGAAGCCTCCCGTCATGGGGTCGTTTCCGTCCTCGTTATGCAGAACATTCACATCGGTTGCTTCATGCAGTCTCTCGCGATGTGACCCTTCTCTTCACATTTCCTGCATAGATTAGATCTGTCAGGGCCTTTGCAGCTCCTCGCCTGGTGACGAAGTGCATACACTTAACACTCCGAATACGATGCCTCCGAAAAACATGTAACGGTAAGTTTGCAATGGCATTCCTCGATAATTTTCAAAAAACTCCTACCTGTGATATCAGAACTGGAAACCAACAACAGATACTCCTTCGATCACTTCTGCAAATTGATCAGCTTCATCCCGGGACGCACCAGCTTGAGAACTTCGCCTCTCCTCCAGCATACAGCAGTCTTTACGACCCTGTGTTTGGGTCTGGTGAGGTGTCTTCCAATTCAAAAGTTGAAAATCGAGCGTTTTACTAAAATAAATCTAGCTTCATAATGGCTCTTTCAATAAAGAACAAAACTATATCAATAAATCAATAAACATCTGTTCAACCCCCAGCCACGTTTTTAAAAAATATATCTATTCACCATGTTTCAAAAAATTGTCCTTTAGGGTGTACGATCAATTTTGAGATACACTGTATGTAGGTGCTTTCCTGGTGACTTGCGATCCTCGGGATCCGGCGAATAGGCCTTCCAGGTAGCATCCACCCATCATGTAGTATTGCTCTCAACAATACCAGGGGTGTATTGTGGGTGTGTCGTGTTGTTGAGGCTGCGTACAATCAAGGTTGCAAAGACTCATTTCAGCTAAAATAATGTTTTTCGGAATAATAAAACCAAAAGATGGTATGATGGCATGTTTTACTTGTAACTTACAAGAAGAGGTTACAAAGTATGCGTTGGAAACATAAAACCTGTAAATTTTGCTTTCTATGAGTCACAATCAGCGATTTGCTGATCGCTGAGTGAGTGAGTGAGTGAGTGAGTGAGTGAGTTTGTGAAAAATTGCTGATTGTGACTCTCATGAAGTGAAATAAACAGGTTTAATATATCAAACACATTCTTTGCAACCTCTTCGTGTATCCTACCAATTCAAAATTTGATCATGGCATCTAATTATTTCATAATTTAGAAAAACATTGTTTTAGCTGAAATGAGTCTTTGCAACCTTGCGTACAATACCTTCACAGTGTGTTGTGTTTTTAATTTTGTCGTTGGCCGTCTTTTGCCTCCTAGCGTAGTTTTTCCAAATACCTAGTATAAGCATTTATTTATTTGCATGAATTTTATTATTTACATAGCTATTATTTATTATTTTAGCTTGAATTGAGTCCGTATCTACCAAACATTCAAGCAATATAAAAACTGAATTGGTACATTCGGAAAGCATGTGATAGCAGAGGTTTGAGAGGTTTTTTTAGTGTCAAACATATCGTTGTACCCGTTTTACGGTTACATCAATTGTTTCGCAATATGCGTTATAGCAAGACATAATTCTATTTATCTTTAACACTCTATTATCGAACTGTCCGTAACAAAAAATGAACACGAATTGTCAAAAACAACGGTTCATTCGGTATTTCACTCCAGCTGTGTTTGATAATATTCACTGGAAACCGCAGTAAATGCGATCATTATGTTACCACCATGAAACTGACAAGGCAATTACTTTTTATTGTACCGTAGAAGTCAGTTATAGTTTATGTGTTTTTTTGTGTGTGTGGGAAAAAAGGATTTCAATTTAATAATTATGAATTGTAGAGAGAAGACCTGGTGGTCATATAGTATGCCAGAATAACTAAGTCATAAAGAATGTGGTTGCTTCTTAATAAATTGAGAGACTTACAGTTGTAAATGAAATCTTCAAATTCAATTATATGACAGCATAAATATCCTTTCATTTAATCTTTTATCTTTCCTTGATTTGTTTTCCGTCGATCTTGTTTTCCATGCTGAGCACCAATGCTACCGACGCCAGTGAGGCAGCTCCCACACCTGGACCCTACGTATGGACCCATCCAACAGCTTTTCGTGATCAGAGATGTTATGCCTCAGAACATCCCGGTGGCGCTATCATTTCTTCGTTTTCCTTTACTTTCATATGAACAAATATGATAGTTTTCCCAAACACCATATTGTCCATGCTTAAGAATATAAGAAACAACCAAATAGTTTGCATGCATATGCAAACAGAAAACAACATTTCCGTTCGAACATTTCTAACCCAGCATTGTTTTCACTCGTAGCGTTAGCCAGACTCGATGGAAACAATGGAAGTAATCATAACTAATAAATGCCTGTAGCAACCGTATGATTTAATGGCGGGGTGAAACATTGCAGTCCGAAAGGCACCTTTGTTATTTAGTGGCGATTTCATTTTTCACCCTATTTCTTTACGTGATGTGATATATTCGATTTCTTATGCCACTTGACGACAGGAAGCTTGCCGCTGAAAGAAACCAATGCTACTGAACAGGAAATGCAGTTTGTGGATGAATGTTTCAATTTAAGTGGAAAAAATGGTCAAACATTGTGCTTTCTACGACAGAGAAAAAATTTCACTTGTGCCACATGCAAAACCAATGTCTTGTCTTTCCCAGAAGGACAGACTATAAATCAAATGCCTTAAATTATCATTAAAGTGGTGCATGCCGCAGCCTATCTCCATATATAATGTGCTCAATTATATGCAAATTAAATAACGCCAACAAATTTACATACATCAAACACCTCTACCTATTGCTTTATAATTAATTTCTTGGGGATTTTGCATCTTTATCATAGCTCTTCCTGTGCAGGTACCGGCTACATACATACTAGAATGGTTTCACTTCAGCTTTCAAAAATTGAATGAAGGATAGTAAAAAGGACGATGTCGAGAAAGGCCGATATGACCGTTCTTGTCAGTTTTCCGGATCACAATCGGCACCGGAAGCTAAACATTATGCAAAGTATGCAACCGACTCCCCATTCAAAGTACATACGATCGGCAAACGATGAGACTGAAGATTATACCAAAATCTTCGTAGGTCAATTCATGCTTTCCATAGAATAATAACAAACTTGGGTATCATAATATTGTGATGACACCACGTCACGTGGAGAATGTTATCCTATATCATTAGGAAGATCGTAAAATGAATAACCAAGGTGAAGGCTGGACTTATAAAAAGTTGTTACTGTGAAAATTTCAATCTTTTTCATGTTACAAAACGTGGTGGAGAGAGGAATTTCTTCAAAAGTTAAATGGATAATATCGCAATTCATCTGCAAATATTTTCTGTTTTATTCAGTACTTCGCAAATTTGATTCTAGTACGGCTAGAGACTAGGGACTAGGGCATATAATATCGTATCTTATTGACTTCAGACAGTCAAGTGTAAAGAATTTGATAAAAAGCAACGAAAAAGAAATAATAAAAAATATTAAAAAACTTTTTTTAAATTATGTGTTTGATATAATTAATTACCAAAAATCATTCTAAAGCACAATGGGCAAAAATTTAGAAAACCACGAAAATTTGGAAAACTGTTTTCGCCAACATGTTGTATATTTTCTATAAGGAAACAATCCGGTGAATCGATTAGCAGTAGTCATTTGCCGCAGACTTTTATCTACCAAGATATATGGCCGGGTCAGCCCGAGTTCCACGTGAAATAGATTTTTACAATGTTTTCCTTGATGCTCAGGATCACGAGATCAATATGAGTTCTCCATATACACATCTTATCACTGCAATTGTTTAAAGCTATTTTAATAAAAATAGAACATTGCTTATTGAACAAGACAGCAATAATTTGGCCATTTTCTGAGTATCCGAATAATCCGGTTTGACCGTTACAGTGACCACATCAAGTAAGCTGTCCTGGAAAATCCCAATTTGATTTCACATCGAACTCGGGTTGATCCCGGCCCTATATCTCAGCAAGGAAAAGTCTCCGGAATGTTGGACCACCACCAATCGTGTCAAAAGAGTTTTTCCTTCAGGAAAAGATATAACATGTTGGCTGAAACCGTTACCCATCCGAAATATACAATTTAGTCGCGGTTTGTCTAATCTTTGCCCACTGTGCAATGTGTGGTACCTACCCTACATCGTTCATATAGATAATACGTTTTCCAATTGATTCACTAAGCCAATTCCCACAACATCAACAGTATAGCTTGAAACCGAATTCCACTGGTGTTTTCCCTAAAGCCAAAGCACGTAGAGTTTCGAATCGTAAATACGGTTTTCACAACAATGCAAACTTCAATCAAGCTTGACAAAATATTGTACGCTAGAATGACTAACAACTGAGCTTTGACTACACGGAGCATTTCGCTCAACCTAATTTGTTTTGATTTTATTGTCCCCAACCAGTCCACTCAAGTCCTTTTGGTTTAGCTTATAACGGTGAATGCTGTTTCGATACGCTTCTGGATTTTCCAAATTCCTCTCAATAATATCAGTCTGCAACACATCCTCCGATACATCGCCCAGCTTTTTTCCTCGCCCGTAGAAAATATTTTCCGAATAGACACGGTCCTTCTGACGATACGTTCCGTGCAGAATATCCCAGTAGTAAATATTGAATCCAAAATTCACGTGAAAGTACTGATGATGATTGTCATGGAAGATGGTGTCCGGCTGCCATGGTTGCCACCAGAAGGACTTGAAATTAACACCAGAGTGCCCCAAAATCCCATGGCAGTAAGCATAGACCACAACGATGTAGAACGGTGCTGGAAAAGTCAAGAGATGAATCAATTGAACCGAACGTGATACAGATTCGACAATGTCATACCCCAGTGGGTAGGAACAGTGACAATTGGAATGAGCATTACAAGTTGAGTAAAAATAATTTCCACCGGATGGCTGGCTGTAACCGAGAAAGCCGTCGGTTGCTTGTAAGTGTGGTGAAGTTTGTGGAAATTTTTGTAAAGCCATGGCCAATGGAATATGCGATGCACCCAGTACGTTGTGTAGTCCTGGAAAAAAAGATTTAAATTAGTTAGTGGGCCCATTTGAGAAAATGTATTATCTTGCAGTTTATAGAATACGGATAGATAAAAAAATTCCTCTTTTTGGCTGTAGCTAATAATGGATGAAATAAATGTAGTAATATTTACATATTTTCGTCAATCTAAGCAGCATCCACACTTTTATTAGCAGTTTCTCAGCTTCATGCACACATATAACGTGTTTTTTTTTTAATGCATTCATCTGCTGCTTGCTATTCTTTCTATTCCAATCGACAGAATTGTCCAAAACGGGTTGAACATGTTATTACACGGCTCCAAACTTTTCAGGTGAGTGTGACTATTGTCGGTAGCCTGATATGCCTTGGTTACCTTTCTGCGTGTAAACCAGCTATTCTATTATCGGCAACTCGAAATCAGCCGTATTTTGAAATGCATATATTTCATTTAAAGAAAAACTTGGCATAACAGGTGAGCTCGGTCATAAAAATGGTATCAGATTAAAGCTGTTAGACTAAAGAATCGTTTGAATATATTCAGCGAGCGTTTTGGTGTTTTGCTGTGAAAATACAGTAAAATTAGTTTTTAAATTTTGGTAGCCGAAAACAGTAAATCAGTGCCGAAGTCATACTTTACCCTATATAATGGCATACAAATTTCACCATATTTTACTTTCTTGTGGTCAGGAACCACGTTAACGTTTATAATATACTTCTGCCCAAACACGTCACGTTTTTTTAGGTACCGCCCCTTTATGAATTTTGGTATGTTTGTACGATATTCGTTCAATACATATTTCCAAACCGAAGCATGTGGCGTTAGCATTGTTGTTGTAGAAGAGTTTTTTTTTAAATAGGAAATTACTTTCGGAACTTTTTTTTAAGAACATTTAAAAATGTTATCTTGATGTTGTACCCTTTTTTTAGTAAATTTTCCCATTCAGGTACCCCCCAATAAACAAGTAGTTAATAGAAAACCACAGTAAAAAATATAATACACCTATACACTGAATTCAATAACTCTTACACTAATTAAAAAACTTATTTTTGGGGGAGGTAGCTCATCGATTCTTCCGGTTCGCCTCCTAGCATCGTGAGCATCGTGCTATAAGGTACCAGGCGATAACCAGGTTAGTTGATCGATAGCTCGATGACGTCGTTTCGTTGGCGGTCTGCAATGGGAAATTCTCATAGCAGGCGTTGACGATGGGACGTTGTCGAGTTGTTGAATAGCAACTATCGTGGTAACTCACCGATTACCTGTCGATCTGCCAAATTTGGAAAGACGTCTGCATTGAATTGTCTCATATAATAATATTCCGCCCACTATATCACAAGAAATTGCGAGTAGCTGAGTGGAATGGAGATAAGTTAAGCATTGGGTACAGGACCAAGTCTCCCCTGGGTGGTGCCAAAAGATGAGCGCAATAGAATCATCAAGTTGCCATAAGGCACGGAATGAGACTATTGCATGGCTGGGTAGTCAAAGTCTTCCATTCGTTAGTCATTTCAGGTGGATTAGAACAGGTTTAGGTTTAGGGTGGGCGTTGGCCAGATTTGGATTTTTCAGATATAATCCTAAATAGGACCTAGATTATTTAATACACTAGTAACCTCAACTTCTGTCACAATGTTTCATTGTGACTAATCAACACTCAATGGGTAAAATATCAAATTTGCGGTAAATTTGAAAAAAAAAGGGAACTTGGAGTGTAGAGCGCACTGCCCACTGGACGATTCTGAAGCCTGACCAAGTGAGTGGGTTACGGGTTTATTTGATTGTACGTCATTTCCAAGTTATATATAGATACATTCATACCATTGGCATTTTGTATTTGAGATAAGACAGAGACAGGATGCGGAGGGCCCGCTTAGGGGGAGCGTAACCCATGTTATGGCTTCCATTTATTAAATAGTTCAGATAGGTTGGAAATGATAGGTTCATGGTGAGAAAATGTACCATATGGTGCCCGTTCACTGATCGAAATTAGATTCAAATCGTCAGGCCCTGCTCTGGAATAAGGGGATTGACGATGATTTGTCAAGTTTCATTTTGCATTTGCATATAATTGTAAGTTTAGGTTTGCTTTTGTAATTGTAAGATAGATAGTTTGCCTCAATTGAAACATTGAGTTGTATAAACTTGACGAATCATACCTCTAAAATAGTAGTAGTTACAGTGCCGCATTATCTAACAACCACTGCCTGCAACTAATGTTGGAGGGGTCGGCAGGGCTGAGTACGGATCAAAACTAACATAACTCTAACACTGAAATGATCCCGAAACTAACGCTCATTCATTGCACTTTGAGTCATAAAGTAGTTTTATTTATTTTCCTACTAATCTATCTACACACTTAGTTTTTTCTACCGAGCTCGGCTGTGCGGGTCTCGGTGGGGAGGGTTTCGCTGAAAACTCGGCGGGAGTGACATTTGATTGAGGTCTCGGATAATGCCTTTTCTAATAATCTGCCTACGTTTCTTTTCTTTGTTATCTACTTTATCCCCTTTTTATTTTTCTGCTCTTCTTTCCTCTTCTCTTCTTTTGTTTTGTTTGTTTACATATAACTAATACTAATACCTCCTTGTTTTCTCTCTAATTTGTCTACTATGTCCCACCATCACGATGAGAGATGAGCTACCGTACATGGTACACGCTCATATACACTCCCAAAATAGTATGCCGCAAGTAAGTATATCACAGAGGCAACTAAAGATCCAGAAACAAAAACCGATAACGCTGAACGGCAGATTGGTTTACAGTGGTCGACCAGGGTGTGTGCTGATAAATTACAAAATTACAATTACATCATTATTTCATACATCAGCTTGAATTATGTTGATCGATATTACATTTTTTTTTTGCTGTGCACTACACCACCGGAGCCAGCAAAGTTCAACAATCCATCGTTGCTTATGCCTTTGTTGTCGTTTGGAACTAGTTTTGCGAGGTAGGCGACGATTGTGCGTATTTCTCGCGTAACTTTTGAAAAGGGCCTAGCCTGAACAATACGTAAAGAGCAAATTGAAACATTGTACGTCGCGTGAAAGTGGAACTTAATGAAGGCCTAAGTACTTTTTCGTAGTTTTTAGTTTTCGGATTTGAAAGATCGTCGGTTACAGTGGCCTGCTTACTGAGCAGAAAAACGCGGTCCCAGGTCCTTACATATCAAAGAGATTTATGGTAAAATCGCTTGTGTATCGTGTATTTTGCGAAACTCGTTGTTGTCGTTGGTTCCGGGTTTGAATGGATACAAAAATTTGAGCAACGGTATTATGTGATATGAGGGGCTCGGTGGCCTTAGAGCAACCGTTTTTGCTTACTGAGCAGAACATCATGAGTCTAATCTCAGTCCCATCCACATTCAAGATTCGTCAATCGTTTTATTTGTTAATATGACTACATGGTAATAACAGCAACTCGGTGATTAAAAAGGTGCTCGTCTGCCTAGTGGCAAACGTTTTTGCTTACTGAGCAGAAGACCGTGGGTTTAGTCCCAAGCTCCTTCGCGTTATATGATCGTTAGGACAAATTCAGCTTATCGTTTACCAAAACGAACCCTGCTACAAACCCAACCCTTTTATCCAACATCCCAGTGATTCCTCGTGGAAGTGCAGAGGTGTTCTCGGCTTCCATCAAAGCGAGTGTCATGTCAACACAATCCTTCCCATTCGTTTCTTGACCTGTGTTCGGGCGCGGCCGGCGCTGGTATTGCCTAATTTAAGATCACCAGTTTTTACACATTGAGGATGATTGCTAGTCCCAAGCATCGTCTATTGGTTCTCTGTGTAATTACAGCTGATCTGTCAATAACAGAGTAGCAACCGTGGGCGGTCAATCAAGCTCAAGCTCAAGCTCACTAATTAAAAAACATATTTTAATTCTAGTTATACATAGGTTTACCATCAACGATCTTCATGTTGAGTGATCCTACCCAGATAGACATTATTTTACATCACGACCCTTCCATGATGAAGCAGAAGGAAGAGGGACCAGCAAATATTTAAAACTGTGCGACAAATGTGTGAATGCTATCTAATTTCTAAATCTTGTTTCAACTACACGCAGAAAAAAATAATTTAAACGTAATAATATTTGACGTAAATTTAATAAGAATTTCATTTTGTTTTGGCTGCAAAATGAAATCATTATTATTTCAACAATCCAGTATCTTTGTTTTAAAAACCCATGGATTGTTAAATCAAAAAGAAAATCTTTTCGAATGCACAAGAGCTTTTATGGTTTTGACGTAAGCTGTCAAATTTGGCAGCTGGGTCAACAAAAAATATGTTTGTTTTTAAAAGAGATTTCTTGTTGATTCAATCATATTTATTTTATTAAGCCTAAAAATATACGCAGTAGAAATAAAAATATGTTTATTGATTCAATTTTTAATAATTTGCGATTATTTTTATGTTTTGTTTTCTATTTGTTACCAACAGAATTACAATGAAATTAAAAAAAAAGCTTTCTGAGGCATAAAATCTCTACGGTTCATGAGTTGATGGGTCGACAGGTAGGGTCCAGGTGTGGGAGCGGCCTTCCTGGCGTTGGGAGCATTGGTACTCAGTACTGAAAATAAGATCGACGGAAAAAATCAAGGAAAAAAAGAAAAACTGTTGATATTTTGCAACAGCAGCATACTTACTTACCTCTAGAGCTGAATGAAACGTAGTTATTTTTTTCATTTATGGCCCGGGGAATTGACACAACAAATAAATGTTAAATTAAAATTAACTATTGTTGGCTTGATAATAGAATATTGTTATTTTTACGATAGTTGCAGTTGAAGAGTGGCTTATGAAAACAAAAAGAATCTTATTTTGAATTTATTTGAATAAATATTATCGAAACAATAAAATGCAATATAATTTCAACCGGAATTGTTTGTGTAAATACAAATAAAGTTTTTTTTTTTGTTCAATGCAAACAATTTTCTGTCCGTGTAGCGTAAGAGCTATTGAATTTGAAACCTGAAGTAATTAATCAAAGATAAATTTGCACCTGAAAATAACAAAAAAAAACTCCCCAAATTTATGTTACAAGCAAAGTTGCTTGCGACCGATGCAAACAGTTTGACAGTTCTATACGGGAATCCAGTAAACCGGAATTTGCAGTTCAATCTTTCAAAACCATAGGATTTTTAATACAGATAAGCTACTATCCAAATCATAATTTTTGCATGCGTGTTCGTGGCTTAGCAGAACGGTTTTTCGTGAACATGGGGCAAATGTTAGTAGTATGCTTTGAGTATAAATTTCATGGTAACTTTTATGATTTTTTTATTATTTTTATTAAGATGATTTTTAGTCACATTAAACCTTTTAGCTAGTTCATCACCAAACTTCTATGATCATTCATACCGGTTTGTCAGTGTAAATAGTTCGAATTGTACCCCTTCCAGCTGAAGAGATGCAATAGTATACGCACTAACAGCATGTCATAACCAGCATTACTTGTCTGAGATATCTTTTGAACAATGATTACTGGTAGATGTAATTTAGAAACAGTATTGAAATCAGTCGATGAATTTGTAGCATATTTTAGCGAGAAATTACATAAACATCATGATTGTACAAAAATTTCGCTTGCAAGTTTGAAGAGAAGGGCAACATTGATTTTGAGTGGAATTTCTTCTTAACTTCTTATGGTAAGGGACCTTGTGATTTAATTGGCGGTACAATGAGGCGAATGGAAACAAGATCAAGCATGGCTAGACAACACCAACATCCAAGAACAAGTGCTTAAACATTATAAAACATTGACCTAGTAAGAGAAATCAAGAAAATTTAATATCAATAGTATTTTGTTATGTGCCAAAAGATACGAAGTGGGTGCTGCATAACGGGATGGCAGTAATCAGCAAGCTGCCTTATACCGCTAATCACGATACGGGATGTAAGATTTACCACCTATTCCTAGACCTGACTACTTCAAACTAGGGGAACAGGATTTTGCAGTAATCACTGGAACACATCTTAGTCCTTGTTACTTTTTATGTTGATAGTGACAAGACTCGGCTTTGTCCACCGAGGATGGACAAAATGAGTTAGTAAGTCTTCATCTATGTGATTCCTCATCTTCTATTCGTTGTTCTCTAGTTTGAAGTGGTTAAGACTAGGGTTTTGATGCATGGTCATTATCGGTGTCATTGCTTAATTTTGTTGGTAAGCAATCCAATTTTGACTGACAAAGGGGTGCGGCTTTCAGGGGTATAAATAGCGGGACCTTTCAATTAGAATCGATTCCTTGCGATGAAGGCAAGAATGACAACTCTATCAAAACCGAATACTTCATCATTACTCAATAGTGATGCGCCTCAATTCGCCTGAGTTTTCATGTGATACGTATTGGCTCATGGCAGATTTTGGCCAGGGAGCACTCGGAACATGCTTTGGTGAAGCTACAAATGATCATACTTTTGAATTATGATGTGATTTGATGTAATTAAGCTTTAGTCAGATTCTGACCACTTTCCCGGTGGAAACCAGTAACACTGATAGATCGCATTTTCCTGGTGCGTTAATGGAATAAGACCTATATACTCCTTCAAAGTTTCATATTTCTTGAACTAGGGGGCGACCCCGGCGTAGTGGTTAGCATCCATACCACTGACGCCAAAGTCACGAGTTCATATCTCACCCCGGACAAGTCACGAATGACCCAAGAGCGTTAAAGTGACTATAATTTAAAACAAAATCTTGAACTACATTGTTTGAGTTTCCCGCATGCTTTTCGATATTCATCGAAGTAGCCTCAAATTAAAATACTGATATTCGGTCACAAGACTAAAAAAATAGGGCGAATGCAACCGTTTCCGTTAAACATATTACTGACGAATTGACTCTAGGAACCTCAGTACTTATTTTAAACAAATAAAATTTGAGAAACATTCATTGATGTAAAAAATAATTAGAATATTCTTTAAAAAATACTATCAATGTTACCCCGTTTAACGGTACTCTATTATAGTTCATTGTTAATTCCTTTATTTAACGCCGGTCTCTGTTCCGCAATCTAGTGCCAATCACCGACGGACATCGATTGCCATTCAATTGCACCCATTCAAACACACATGAGCAGGGGCCAACGGCTTTACTTCCCTTCTGAAGGAAGACGTGACCACAGATTTTTATGCCTCTGAAAAATCCCACCGACCTCGGCTGGGATTGAACACAGACCCATTGGAGTGAGAAAGCAGTCACGCTTACCACTACATCACCGGCGCCGGCTTACTCTATTAAAGGTTTGATTAGTTTTTTACAGGCCACTTTCAGTATACTGTAGTCCATTTATAAAACTCGATTTATATCTTCCATTGAAAACGACAAAGCTAAACTTATGAAACCTGAATGCTTACCTGATAAATGAAAACAGCAATAAACTGGAACCAGAACCAGAACCATCCATATTCGTTACAGTTATAGTAGATGGTAAGCATGCTGCCATTATTCATCGCATAGCAAGCAATAACACCGGAAAGGATGCTGACAATAAGTAAAGAGGAAGCTCCAACCATTATCTCATGAAGCTCCAACTCCGGCGATAGAAACTTTTCCGGTTGACATTTCCACTCGTGAGCTTTATCCCGACGACAAACATAAAAGTACCACTGCAAGAAAAAGCACAGTTTTCAGTTACCTGCCATAAGGTACTGTGAACAGTATAGTGCCTACAAACAGACACTCTAATAATCAGTATGCTTTACGTGAATGAACCCGCCAATTGAGAAGTAGATAAGGTATGACCCGGCAACAGCTGCTACTACATAGTATGATAAATCGTTGAAATGATTGTCAGGTACAATATTTTTAAATGATTCGTCGTTTGTACTCAGGGAATCTTCGTCCTTCAATTGTTTCAGTAGGTGCACCAAGATAACGATCCAATCACCTATTTTGGAATAAAATGGAAACGTTAATAAATTTATTGAGTGCGATAACCTGCTGTTAATAATCGCAAGACATTTCTATGCGTATCTTTCGTCTTTAGTTCAAATGTGTTTCAAAATATTAAGCATTATTAAATTGATATAATGGAAATGTACAGGGTGAGGCAAAGTAACTTCGACGGTTGCACACAAATGTAATTCTCAATGTATAAAATGAATTCAAGCTAAAGTATTTTTGTTTTAAAGTATATACAAATATCAGCATTGCGTTCCATGTTTATGACCATTTCCTTTAGTGACAGTTACTCTACCTCAATATGCGTTCAAATAAAAATCCGTATATTTGAAATTATTGATTAATTTAAATGTTCATAAATGGAGATACCAATAACTCTAAAATATGTTTTAAATTTTCAGAAGACACCATCTTACGAGAAGTGGTCTAAGAAAAGATAATACATTTTCTACAAATAACTTAAGTCATATAGCTAAAAAATCAAACTGATAAACAAAATTGTTCCAAAAAAACAGAGAAGCTGCTACTCAACACACCCGTGCTTACCTTTAAGCGTGGTTGCAAACAGTAGCACTGCTGTTGATATTAGTAGATTTTTCAAATATTGCGGTAGAATATCCCAAACTGTGCTTAATCGAGTGGAATATTTTTCTGACCATCTCACTCCTTCTAATAATGGATTTTGGTAGGTCTTCTTGCAGTGAGATACTTTGCTTGCACTCATTTTTATCTAAAGCCACAAGTACCGATCGAACAAAAATTAAATCAATGAATAATTCGAAACTCGCGTACACATTGCGCAAATGCCTGGATGTCACTGAACGAAGTGAACCGAAAACAAAAAGACGCTGCACAGTTTCACTGATTACAGGTTTGGGTTGAATATCTGACCTAAATGAGCGTCGAAAACCGAACACAATCTAGAAATAAGCCAAATCAGAGAAATACAATGGACGAATTTCACGTCAACTCGACAACTGGTTGGCAGCACCCTATGTCCTTTATATGAACATCATTATGCAGCACCTCGGCAGATTCCGTTGAAACTTCCTGGGTGTAACAACCTAGCTTTCTGAAGCACCTGTGCATACTTGTCTTGCTAGGAAAAATCTAAACTACCATTTGAAAAGGGCTGAACATTTTTAAACTTTTTTCAAAAGGTTATAGCGCGTTAGCTATAAGACTAACATAATTTTGGGTAATGCGTAAATTTTATAAAATTGTCTAAAATTAAAAAAAAATAAGAAAAAAAATTAGTTTTTTTTTCAAATACTTAATTTTTTTTAAAGTGGAAATGGAAAAACCACTTGATTATCTACAATTCGTCCATGATGAGCACTTTTTTTTTACTTTTTCATGTCTTCACCGAAAATAACATGAAAGGCTTATTTCATCCTAAAGCGTGTACGAGATTGGCAGATCCCATTCAGATTCTAATTAAACTGTGTAGCTGTGAAAATGTTGCCTGGTAAAGCAACTTTGCATACTTTTATTACTACCATTCTTATAGACTTCATTTTTCTTCCAGCAAAAAGAATTACTAACATATTATGAAATTGCGTTAATGAATCAGTTTGAATCAGTTTGAATCAGTTTGAATCAGTTTTAAGCCTCAAGCTGTGTTCAAATTTTATATTTACGATATGAGGAAACTTTTACTCAACCTCTATGCAAGCAAATATGACGAACTTAGTCAGCTACTTATGGCTGTTGTGACGGTTGGGGCGGGGTCTCTTACCATCGGCCTTTACTTACTGATATAGGTAAGTAGTAATATCATCATTCATAATTTAATGTCACAATGTATCAATAATCACTATTTTTCATCAGCCTAAACGTTCAAAAGTACACCAGAAAAAACAAATAGGGTAACCAACTTGAATTGGACCCCTACATATTTTGGACCCTTTTCATATATTTTCCTCGCTTACTGTCTAGTTTCTTCAAATTCATCTGGGTTGATGTTGTAATTACATTCTTTCAATTACTTGCTATGTCTCAAGATCATTAGTTCTCCTCAAATTGCTTACAATTGCTCAATTTAAGCAGTTTTAGAAAATGTTATCGACAAAGTTTCATGTTTCGACGTTTGTCAAGAGGAATCGGCGTTAGTGTACTTGTTTTAAATTTGGTCTAAAATATACAATTCAATGATTTTTTTATAAAATCAGTTTATCTGACTTTGGAAGATGTATTTCACGTGTTTATAAAGATTTCACCTTAAGATTTTACTTAAAAAGTATTAAATAAAAAGTGTCCAAAAAAGATCGTAAAAAAATGTTACCAACTTATTTTGGACACTTATCAAATGAGAATCATCAAAAGAGCGACAAAAAAAATTCCGGTTGGTCGATCGTGCTATTATCTCAGATTTCTGATTAAATTGTTAAGTAAATCAATCAAAATTATATGAATTCATTGTTTTTAAATATGTAATGTAAATATGCAATGTAAATATGTAAAAATATTATGCATAAGTACAATATTGGGTATACTCAGCGATCAAATTCACCCCGCTGATCAATTTCACCCCGTTTTACGGCACCTTCTTTGAAAATTTTCCTACCTAGACGGACCTAACAAATGCGAGATAGGAAGAAGTGACCGTCGTAATTAATTTTAGGCTCATAGGTTGAAAGAACTTCATCATGTCCAAAATATATTCGTTCCCATTCAGTGTGTCCAAAATATATTATGGGCACTGTCCAAAATCAAGTGGAAGGGTCCAAAATATGTGAATATCATGATGCGAAAAGAATTATTTTTCGAGTATATATCAATAAATAAAACATCTAGTGACATTTTACATCCAAGATGAGTAGCTTTCGAACACAACCGCATGTAAATTGCATAATAATAATAAACAAATAATATTATATTGACATAAACGTGATCTCACTTCCTCTAGGGGTCCAAAATCAGTTGGTTACCCTAATGGTCCTTTTCAGGGCCACCATTCGAAAAACAACTGGCCATTTTCAGAGCCACCAATTCAAAAACGGAAAGAGTTAAGATAATAGATTATCGATCAATTAAAAGAACTAAAGGCTCAACATGTTTGTTCAATTCACTAGCGGTCCTACGTCGAGCTTTCGTTCGTACCCCTAGGCACAGACCCTTCTACTTTTTATCAGAGATTTTAAGCCTTAGAAAATACCGGCGCGACTGGGATTGAACCCTGGTCTTTCGTAGTGAGAGCCATCATGGTTACCACTACATCACCGGCACCGTTAATTGTAAGTAGTGCTGTCATATTTGTCATTTTGTCAGAGAGAAAAAATAATAGGAATAAGGCATTTATTAGAACAAAAGATTGGAATTGATGAGTTCTATCAGTGAACGATTGCTACATGTTTGTCTGGTTTATTTTTTTACTGAAAGTTCGATATTTTGAACACGGTACATTAAAAAAAAAAACAAGCATCTGTTAAATGTGTATCAAAACCAAATTTCAAACACTTAACTTCATTAGATGATGTTATTTTGTTGGCGTTTGTAAACTCACTGAGACAGGTAGTGGACTAGTAAAACAATAACACTGTTACAAAAACTATCCGCAGTTTATCATTCCAATCATGTTTTTCTTATCTATCTATATATATAAAAACTAATTTCTGTCTGTCTGTCTGTCTGACCCTTATATACTCGTCATAACTTTCGTAAAAGAACTTCAAGAAATTCCCTACAAGCTTTCAAATATGCGTCCTCTCATGCTCTTGAAGTCCTTTGAAAACGATTCTCAAAATAAAATCGATTTCATTCAATAATTCGTCGATGAGATAGAATATTGATTTCTTCAGCAAAGTTGCTTGAAAATAAATTATCTCAATTTTTTGTAGAAGCAAGAATTCCTCTTAACCATAAAAATAATAAGCTTTTTATTTTGAAAAAAAAGAAGGCAACCACCACCCAGCAGTCACCACCTTTACCAAAAAGATAATGATAATGGAATGGTATAGGCACAGATGATTCGCAGGAGACAAGTGTGTATAAGTATAATTGCGAAGCTTTGCGAATTAAATGTGGTAACTAAGTCTTAGCTTTCTCCATCAAATCCAAGAGATGTCGCGCGGCCAGTGGTGGATAACACAGTTTTACGGTATGAAAATTTTCGAAAAATCCTCTATTTCTCTTCAAACCTAGAAGCAAGGTTTGAAGTGAAATAGAAGATTTTTCGAAAATCTTAATACCGCCAAACTGGTTTATCCACCACTGGCGGTGAGACATCTGTCGGATTTGATGGAGTAAACTTAAGAAAATTTCTACACTGTGTTCTCTTATGTAGAAATAATATATCGGACAAATTTCACCATTAATGATATTTTCAATAAAAAGTGATTTTCGTCATCAAGTTAATTTTGCACTAGTCCATACGATTGAAGACTGCTCGCCCTCAGATAGAGAGTGCTGTCAGAAGAAGCAAGAAACGCCTAATTGACAAACGGATTTGATTGCCTACACGTCATTAGCCAAAAATTGCGTGCACTTTTAGCGGTTGCCGTATATTTATTGCGCAAACTTTCTCACAAACTCGTATCATATCGAGCATTGTATGCTTTGCTTCTCAGTATCTTCTCTGTTTTCCAAACAATGTTTTACAAACAACTCGAGTATTAGTACAAGACAATGCAGAAGTGTGCCCATTGTAGACGAATACGCGTATCAGTCAAGGATAAGCAATCAAGGTAATGGAATTAAATGGAATTACTAATCGTGCTCTCTTTCTTTTCATGGGTATTTCATTATAGACGCCCACATTCATCAGGATTCATAAAATATGTAGTTCCAAATTCTGATAGGAATCATTGGTCACACTACGGATTTTTTTTTCCTTTGTTTTGTTTTCCGTCGATCTTGTTTTCCGTGCTGAGCACCAATGCTACCGTCGCGCCAGGAAGGCAGCTCCCACACCTGGACCCTACCTATCGACCCATCAACTCATGAACCGGGGACCAACGGCTTTACTTCCCTTCCCTTCAGAGATGTTATGCCTCAAAACATCCCGGCGGCACCGACTGGGATTGAACCCAGGCCTGCTGGAGTGAGAGGTAATCACGCTTACCACTACACCACCGGCGCCGCTATCACTACGGAATTTGAAGCAAATAAACTTTTCGAGGCCTCCCTTAGCTCAGTCGGTAAAGGCGCAGCTACAAAGCAAGACCATGCTGGAGGTGGCTGGGTTCGATTCCCGGGCCGGTCTAGGAATTTTTCGGGTTGGAATATGTCTCGACTTCCCTGGGCATATAAGTATGATTGGACTTGCCACACAATTATATCAATGCAAAATGGTACAGGCATCGAAAGCTTTCAATTAATATCTGTGGAAGTGCATCTAGAACACTAAGTTGAGAGCACGCAATAAGCTAATATGCGATATGCAATAAGCTTGAAATGCGAAGAAGAAGAAGAAAACTTTTCGATTCGATCATTTAATTTATCTTGCTCGAATCGAAAAAAATATCGTTTCAAATTTCCCAATGTGACCCTAGATATTGCTTCTAAGATTTGTCTCATACAAGGCGATGATCCCGTTTCCTTCCAGGACCAATGTACAGTATTATTATTATTTTTAATGAACAAAGCGTTAAACTGATAACAGGATAGATGTATACTCTCTAAAATACTGCATTTCAAGAGTCGTCTAATGAATTATGGTGTAGCCGATAGGAGTTTGATTATCGGCTGATTAAAGTGACAGCAAGAAACCTAAACAAATCGTTCGAACTTTATGGTCATCATTTGATAACCCAAATTTCCCACGATATAAAAAGCAGCATTTTTTTTTTGGCATGTTTTAGTATATTTTCGAAACTGTTTCAAGAACAAAAGGTTACATTGAGCAGTAGGTATTGAGGCTATGAGTGTTTAACGTGATGTAAGTAAACGGTCGTGGTGATTCAAATTACCGTCTTTATGAATCAATTTGGTACAGTGAAATAATTAACTGACTGATTTCCTATAACAAAGGAATGCCAAAAAGCGTCAAAACGGGAAAAAAGCTTCAAGAAGGGAAGGATGTGCCAAACAATTGTTCAGAGATCCTTTGATAGACGGAGTACGTTGGATAGAGCGCTATGCATCGACCGTTGATAGATTTTGGGGTATATTACCTCAGTACATACGGAATTTACTGGCAGCATTTGCAGTATTTCTAATGGCCTCCAGTGTTAAAGGTATGTAAATTTAAATAATGAAAAGATTTATTTCAATTTTAATAGATGCTGCTATCAGCAGATTTTATTTTACCAACTAAGTTGGATCTATCTTTCAAGTCAGACCTCTGAAAATATGGTCCTGATGTGGACTGAATACATTACTCATAAGGGACTATGCTTTAAGTACGTTATAATAGAGGGTGAAATTGAGGAAACAAATATTCCTCCTCCCCCTTTCGTCATTTTTATCCTATATCTTATGAATTCCCATGCAAATGAGGTTGAATAAACAGCCAACATAACAAAAATTATATCAAAATAATACTCCTTGGATATCACAAAAAATACTGATTCAGTTATCATTTAAAGCAATTTGATAACAAATCCTGTGCTCCATGCACTTTGTTCAACAAACTTCAAATTATTTTATAGATTTGATATAAGAACCTTGCACTGATAACTGATATATGAATGGCAGTGATTTTTTTTTCTTACAATGCAAATAATATTTGTTGTTTTGAACTAACTTTGCATAATTTCTTATTCTTTCATGATAACAACTGATAACAAAATTAGTCTAGGTTGATTCATAAATTCAACGAAGTATCTGACCTATTTCACTTTGACATCAATGCCTCCAGATTTCGTCATCGTTTGCTGTCGGTCAATTTTTAATTTTTAATGATTGACTTCATTTATAATTAAGTGTTTCATTGAGAATACCAAGTCAGATGAACTATAATCATAATAAATAAATAAAATAAATAACTACATTAGTTATGCGATAACAACTGAAAACAAATTGATACAGATATCTACCCCGTCCTTCTCCTTTGCGCGTGGCGTACTTCATGGATTACCCTTAGTGAGCATTCGTTAAGTGTGTACCGCAAAATTTTGGGAAATCATCCCCCTCCCAAAATAGTCACGTTTTTCCTATACCCTCTTAGAGCGAGACGTACATAATGGATGTTATTTTAATAGAAAATTAAACTGCCTGTGAAACTTACTAATTTTAAAACACCAACCTTTTATTATCATAGTGATCAAAATCACCAATATCATAAAGGTTTAGTTAAGATTTTTTTAACTAATTATATTATTAGTTTCAAAAGTGGATAATTTCTGAAAAAAAAACATCATTAATACTTAGGGGTCGGAGAACAGATGATTCCAGCTTTGGAAACTGAACACCGAATCTTAACATCCTATTTTATCATCAAACCAAAATCAAATTGTTCACTAATTTCACTCGTTGGAAATTTTAAACTGAATTCTGATGTTTTTATCTTGTAAGAAAGCATATTAGTTGCCCTTTCATATTGGGTATGCCTCGTGGTGGCGGATCACTTTTTTTCGAGTTGTTTTAGCTGTTTTAGCCATAGTGTCGGGAAAGAAAACCTTATTATTTAAAAAAAAAAACAGGATATCTGAAACTAAACGATCACTAAACGAAAGCTTAGGCTTGCCCCATTTATATGAGACTAGGATCAAACGAAAGCTTATGCTTGCCCCATTTATATGAGACTAGGATCAAAATGTTGTATCAGGGGGGTCTAGAACATTTTTTTTTTGTATGTTTTAGTGCAATTGACGTCCAAAATTTAACTTTTAAACCCAAATATGTGTAGAAAAACAACCCTCGATAGAACATTTTGAAACTAGCCAAATGAAAGTAAATCACCTAAAATTTCGTTTGGTTGGTGTTTCAGCGATACTGATTTTTTTAATATTAATGTTGTAAATAATTTTATCAACCAATATTTTCAATTAATTTATGCTACCAGACCAGAAACATTGTGCAGCAAGTTTAATTTGCGCAATTTCCCCATTACTATTTTTCCTGAAAGATTATGAAATATGCAATAGATTTCCACATAGTCGAGTTTTTAATTTCAGTGCTGAAAAAGTACTGGTCTCTGGAAAATTTTGTCAAAAATACTAATCTAGCGGCGCCGGTGGTGTAGTGGTAAGCGTGATTACCTCTAACCCCAGCAGGCCTGGGTTTAATTCCAGTCGGCGCCGCCGGGATGTTCTGAGGCATAACATCTCTGATCACGCCTGCCTTCGGAAGGGAAGTAAAGCCGTTGGTCCCCGGTATATGAGTTGCTGGGTCGATAGGTAGGGTCCAGGTGTGGGAGCTGCTTTCCTGGTGTCGGTAGCATTGGTGCTCAGCACGGAAAACAAGAACGACGGAAAACAAATCAAGGATAAAAAATTAATCCGGATTTGACGGTCTGATGTTAAAAACAGGTAGCGTGACCAACAGATAAATAATAATTTGAGGAAACAACCTTTCCAACGGTATAAAAACATTAGAAAACGGATGAATAGAATCTGAGGTACATAATTTTGAAAAAAAAAGTGTCAAGTTTATTATCAATGTGGTGCTCGAAGCGTTAAATAAAATGATGGCCTCTATGATGGCACATATGTCGTTAAAATCACATTACACACAAGGCGATGTAAGAATCAATTTTATAATATAATCAATATCAACATTTATAAGCGTTTCCGCACTTATAATCAATCGCAATGAGCAATATATTATAACAGAAAATTATCCGTCAATATCGCATGTGGCAAATTTCTAGTTAAAATTATGAGAGACCAGCACCGTTATTTTGAAAATACCAGCTTGTGTTTGATCTATTTGAAATGATCTCTCCCAGTGTTCCTCCCATTAATATCACTGGATTTAAAATTGATACTTCGCAACACTCATCTCTTCTCTATAATTTCCGACTTTAAGAAATTTTCACATTTCTCTATCGTTAAATTAATTTGGAAAAGTTTTTTTTTTTTCATTCAACAAGCTTTTCCACGCGTCCTCATGACATTGATAAGCGCACTCGACTAGATAAGAAGACTCGTACCTGGGATTATTAAGTGATCAAATTCAGTTGATACGAGGTTCTGATTTAACACCTGTTTGGGCGGTCACAAAAAAATGACAATCTTTCAAGACATATCGGTGATTCGCCTTATTTATTGTTCGTTGGTGCATATTTTATTGATTTGTACTAAACTGTATTCGTTATCTTGACGAGTTTAGGTGACTGGATTTCGATTGCAGTACATTTGGTCAAACACATCAAAGGGGTAGACGAGCTTAACAGTATTCAAGCGCCGAACGATAGCGTTGACCGGGAGAATAGAACAGGTGGTACAAAAGCTGATGATGTACTCGAATACCTGAACCTCACAGGCTTGCCCCATTACTTGAGCTTAGCAATCACGGGTTCGTTTATAATCTATTTCGGAGTAGGTGGGTTCATTCACGTGAGTATGATTATTAAAAAAAAATGCACGTAATGGTTTGGCTGATAATTTTTTGTTTACTCAGTGGTATTACTACATTAACAAGCGTGACCGACCGCATGAATGGAAATGTCAACCGGAGAAATTTTTATCTCCCGAACTTGAACTTCATGAAATTTTCGTTGGTGGATTTTCAATGCTGATAATGAGCTGCTTAAGTGGAATTTTATCATGTTACGCCATGAACAACGGAAGATTACTCACTTTATACTACCGTTGGGATGAGTACGGATGGTGGTGGTTCTTTGGTCAGATACTTGTCATATTTTTGTACCAGGTAAGTTGAACTTTTTTTTAACTTCCAAAAATAAACACAATGTTAATACCATTATCTCTTTTGTTATTTTAAAACAGGACTACTTAACCTACTGGTTGCATCGCATTTACCATTGGCCTTGGTTGTATAAGCATTTCCACAAACTGCATCACACATACAAGCAACCAACTGCATTTTCAGTTACCGCGATTCATCCTGTCGAGATATTGCACGTACAGCTTACTATGCTGTTGCCAATATTTACAATTCCAACGCATTGGGGTACAATTTTGTAGAACAGATTGTTTAAAAATAACAACTAAATAATATATATTCATATTTTCAGCGGCTTTCTATTTAATCGAAATCTACACGTATGCTCATGGCATTATGAACCATAGCGGAGTGAACATCAAATCTTTTTGGTGGCAGCCTTGGCAACCGGATACGATGTTCCACGACAATCATCATCAGTATTTTCATGTGAATTTCGGATTCAACATTTTTCTATGGGATGTTATTCATGGCACGTACAGACAGAAGGATCGTGTCTATTCGGAGGATATATTTTTCGGGAAAGGAAAAAGCTTCGAAGAAGTGAGCCAAGCAGAGTTTGAAAAAGATATTGCTGAACGTAAGCTGGAGAATCCAAAGGCATACAGGAATAATGTGCATGCGTACGATTTAGATGAGAGGGTAGTTTGCGATCTGATAAAAAGTTCTAAAAAAGCGTAATTAATCTTTTAAAATTTGAGAGGATGTGCAAGAAATGTATATCAAATATGATAAGGTATGGGTTCTTAAAGAATATAAATTAAACAAATTTAAAATTGGTGTTTTTTTATAAACATGAAAAAACATTCCACATATAAACATTACAAATGGAAATTTTGTTTATTATCGAACAGGTTTGGTCTGAATATTTTCAGAATTTTATTAAATTTTACCACAGGTAGAGACTATGATTCTATGAACAAAAAACAAATTCTAAAAATTTTGGGTGGGGAATATTTCAGAAAAAAAATAGTTGATGTTTTCGGACATCACGTACTTTGAAAAATCATAACTAATCATCGCAACTGACAGCCACAGCATGATATTAAAACCGAGATTAAAACTAATAATCTGGCGCCAAATACTATTTTTTTCTTAATCGGCAATATCTTAGCAATCCATAAAAAAATATAATCTGAAAAATGTTTTCCATTTTTAAGGCCCATTTTGCCGGAAAATTAAAAAAAATCCTCAAATTCCATATACAAACCAACCCGGTAATCGTCAGGATTATTTCAAATGATAGGAATGGATTCGATTTGTAAATGGCTGGACAATACGTACCTTTGGTACCACAAGTACTTGCAGGTTCAGGGCCTCAGAAAGCTTAGTCAGTAAAGGCACCAATTTATCAACATTTATTATGCTCATCCTTTTCGGTCATTTTGGCAACTGAAACAAGCTGGGACGAAAGCGTAAAAAGTGAAGAAATCTTTGGAAATGCTTTTAATGTATTCAGAGACGACAGAAATTTTCATGCAACACAGAAGAAGTCAGGTGGTGGAGTTCTTATAGCTCTTTCGGCCAATTTTAACTCAGAAATTATCTTTACACCAAAATTTACAGAATTTGAGCATATTTGGGTGAAATCACACATAGCCGGTGAAACGCACGTGTTCGCCTCAGTGTATTTTCCACCAGACCATGCTCATAAAAGCACTTATGAAGCCTTCTTCCAAAGTGCTGAACAAATTCTATCTGAGCTTCCTCCTGAGGTTAAAGTTCACATCTATGGAGACTTTAATCAACGCCATGCTGACTTCATTCTGGACTCTGAAAATGAATGTATCTTACTCCCAGTCGTTGGGGATAATGAAACATTGCAGTTCATTTTTGACAAAACTGCTAATTTAGGACTGAACCAAATTAACCACATCAAAAACCAACAAAATTGCTATTTGGACTTTTTACTAACGAATATTTATGAAGATTTCTGTGTGACCGAATCATTAAATCCACTGTGGAAAAATGAAGCGTTTCACACAGCAATCGAATATTCTTTATTTATGCATGAAAACCAAAGACCCAACGACTGCGAATACGAAGAAGTCTTTGAATACAAATTAGCAGACTACGAAAAAATAAAATTTAAATTAAACAGTGTCAATTGGCAATTAATTTTAAGGAATGTAGGAAATGTCGAAATTGGTATAGACGTGTTCTACAAAATTTTAACAGAAATAATTTCGGAAGAAATACCTTTGAAGAAAAAAATCACACAAAATCCAGTCTGGTTTAACAGACAAATAAAAAACTTGAAAAATCGGAAGCAAAAAGCACATAAAATTTATAAAAAACACAATAGTAGTAATAATTTATTAATTTATTTGGATCTATGCGATCAACTGAATTTAGCTATCAGTACTGCATTTGAAGAATATAATGCAAAAACTGAACGTGAAATAAAGTCCTGTCCGAAGAACTTCTTTAATTACGTAAAAACGAAATTAAAATCTGACAATTTTCCTTCAATAATGCATCTAGACGAAAATGTCGGTGATAGTTCGGAAAAAAAACTGTAATCTATTCGCAAAATTTTTTCAAGAAATTTATACGACATTTTCTGAAGAAGATCGTGACCGCGATTATTTTGCATTTTATCCAGAATTTTCAAGGGACATTGGCCTCAATCAACTTCAAGTGCAGGACATTTTGCAGGCTTTAAAAAATTTAGATGCCTCAAAAGGTCCTGGACCTGACGGAATTCCTCCAGTATTTATTAAATGTCTAGCAATGGAACTCACTGCTCCATTGTTTTGGCTTTTTAATATGTCCCTAGAATCCGGAACCTTCCCTAAAATTTGGAAAAGCTCATTTCTAGTACCTATCTTTAAATCTGGTCGAAAATCTGACGTACGTAATTATCGTGGTATAGCCATTATCTCTTGCATTCCTAAGCTTTTCGAGTCAATTATCAACGAAAAATTATTTCTCCAAATCAAAAATAGAATTACTGACATGCAACACGGCTTTTTCAAGGGTCGTTCGACCTCGACCAACTTACTTGAATTTATAGACTATTCATTAAATGCAATGGATAATGGAAATCACGTAGAAGCTCTTTATACAGACTTTAGCAAGGCATTTGACCGCATTGACATACCAATGTTACTCTTTAAACTGCAAAAAATTGGAATTAAGTCAGGGCTCCTGAAATGGCTTGAATCATATTTAACTAACCGCCAACAAATAATTAAATTCAACGGAAAGAAATCGAGCCCAATTCAAGTCACTTCAGGCGTCCCCCAAGGCTCTCATTTGGGACCTCTCCTTTTTATTCTATACGTAAACGACATATCTTACATTCTCAAAAAACTTAAATTACTTATTTATGCCGACGACATGAAGCTCTTTTTGGAAATAAGAAATGAAGAAGACATCAATATATTCCGGAATGAAATACACATATTCTACATATGGTGCAAAAAAAGTCTACTAGAATTGAATGTAAAAAAATGTAACTTAATATCATTTAGTAGAAAAAGAACAACTTCAAATATTTCAATTGCATTAGGAAATCAAACTGTAGACAAATGTGAAAGAGTTAGGGATTTAGGAATTATCTTAGACTCTAAGCTAACTTTCATAGACCATTACAATACAATTATTCACAGGGCAAATAACATGCTAGGCTTTATCAAGCGCTTTTGTTATAACTTTCAGGACCCTTACACAATTAAAACACTATATATTGCCTATGTGAGGTCAATACTGGAATATTGCAGTATTGTATGGTCTCCATTTTCAATCACGCACGAAGAAAGATTAGAATCAGTACAAAAACAATTTCTATTATACGCTCTTCGTAAATTAGGTTGGACTTCATTTCCTCTTCCATCATATGAAGCACGCTGCATGCTTATAAACATACAAACATTAAAAGAGCGTCGTGAATATGCAATGGTTTCATTTGTAAATGATATCGTTTCGCAGCGAATTGACTCAACAGAACTTTTATCAAAATTAAATTTCCATGCACCCACTCGGCAACTCCGAAATCGAAATTTATTTGCCATAAAACATCATCGCACAAATTATGCAAAATATGGGCCATTAAACCGCATGATGGCCTCTTACAATAAACACTGCGAAACCATTGACTTTACAATGTCTCGGCATAAACTAAAGCAATATTTTTATTCCATAAGAAATAAAAACTCATAAAAGAAAAGACAAGAAAGCTGACACTACTTTTTTATATAAATATATATTTAAGAAAACAAAACTGTATTAATTGTACTAGTCTACGTTGGTTGACGAAATAAATAAATAAATAAATTACCAACCGGTGGAAACTAACGATCTTAAATTGACTCATCACTTGACTACCCTAATAAACGGGTACCATACACTAACGATATCATAGATGGTACGACCGTACCACATAAAGTTGGGATTATATCCCGAATTGGTGGTTAGGCGCTTCTTATGGTTATTGTTTATGCGGGTAGCCTATTGGTCCCAAGCAAATCGATTAACATACCCTATTCCAGTTGAAATTCTAGCACTACACTATGTTTGTTTTGATTCGCTATGAAAGTTTGACAGATAAAATGCGGGGTTCAAGGATTTTCCTATGTTTCGAGGGGTGCATCGATTAGCTTGGGACCGAAGATAGTACCAGAGCTGAGCCAAAATGTTGAGTTTCTGTAGTGGGTGAATGGTATGAGGATTATAAGAAAAACTCATCTGACTAGAATCATTGATCAGCTTTCACTGTCTTGATTGATTGCAAATGATGTGGATCAATGCGTAATAATATTTAACGCAAATAACATTGTGAAAAGAAAGCAATAATGTTGTTCAGTGCATATTGTTGATTTTCTACCGGTGGATGCACAGCTCTATAAACAGAACATGAGAGAGCACACGCGATTGGCGTTGACGGCACCGTCGAAAAATTTGCTCTTTCAGCAAATATAGACAGTTTCTTATGGGAATTTTCGGTGGAGTGAAAGGATAGTACAAAGTCCGCCATGTTTCACGCACAGTCTGACGTTTGCTTATGGATTTTCTCATAGGAGTAAAGAGCTACAGAGTCGCCGTCAACGCCAATATATTAAAACGGAATTCGTGTAACGGAAAAAGCACGAAGAAAACGAAACGTGGTAAAAATAAATTCGACAGTGAGCATTCATAAGGGCGAATACGCGATGATCGATTCTCTTCATCGATTTTCTCTTTGCATTGCTACAGCTAAGCGAAACAATTTTCAAGAATTTGTTCAATGCAGAGTAGTAACAGGTTGTATTGGCTATCAAAAGCAACAGCAAACGCACCGAGAAACGTTAAATCTAGGGAGTTATTAACAAAAGAGAAAATCGACGAAGAGAATCGATCATCGCGTATAGGCCCTTATGCATGCTCACTGTCGAATTGATGTATACAGCCTAAAATCACTGCTGCACCACGGAAATTTCACCAAAATATCAAACCAAACCAAATTTGTTCCAAGAAGACTGATTGTAGCCCTGGTGCATGCCGGTTCCTTAGCTATACTCCATAGGATGGGTTCCTTCGAGCTGGATGCGGTTCTTCATCCACGGCGTTGATTATGGTACAGTACTACAGCGATAACAACTACGAGGACCAGGTGGAACTGTTCAATCGGCTGCAAGCGGAGGACGGCTACATGAAGATTAGCGGGGATTTTGAAAAAAAAGTTTATCGATGTCCTCGAGGTGAACTACTTTGAGGTGTCGAATTTGATTCTGTTCTATGCGTTCTATGCCAAGAGGAAGGTTCGAAGGGGTTGAGGATTGGGTTTAGGTTGTTGAAATGTATTCAGTTATACCCAGCGAATCCAAACACATAAAGCAACCAACGATACAGACAAAACGGTTGCTACGACTACCATGACAAACTCGCTCTGTAACAAAGCTCGATCCGAGTGGTAGAAGGATAATGATATATTGCTTGCCTGCTTTGTTGCAATATACACGGATGAGGACATAGCTTGATATGAATCGGGAAAAGACATAACAAAAAAATTCCCATTAACACACGTGTATCATCTTCGGCTTTACTTCGTGAAGCAGCTTGCCAACAATTTGCTCGTTTCCTTCTACCGCCCCGAATGAGTCGGGTCGCACGAGCTGCTTGTCATGAAAAAGAACGGTGAAGATTATATCATTATTGTTTTCAACTTCTGACATAGCGTTATTATTCGGTTCGTTGATCGCTTGTTATTTTGTCATTTGGAGATATTTTTGATTCCTTGGTTATACCACGGTATAACGTAACTGTCACTTTTGACTTCCAACGCTGATTTCTAGCAAACAATCATTATATCAAGCAAAGTAATAACACCATCGGAGATATTCTCCATCTACATTTCAATTTGAATAATTGAATTGTTATTTGTGAGATATCGACGATGGAACTCAAAAGTTACAGTTACGTTATATTGAGGTATACCTGTATTGTAAGATGAATAATGTAATGAATATAAAACAATGTTTAAAGAAAGCCTATCTAATATGTCGAAGACTGCACAATAGGGCATCATAATATTTATTGAACGCATCCTGATTACTTAACCAGGGTGAGCTACCGGTGGCTATGAATATCGCTCATCCAAGGAGGATGATTTGTAGAACGCTATGTATCTGGTCACCATTCCTGCCCAAGTAGCAATTGGGGTTTTATGAGGGTTCTGCAGACTATGATTTAGACTTGTAGCATGCTTTAAAACCGTGATAAAACTTGCAATGTTACTTGGGTGTGGAATTGACCCATGTAAACCGTGATTATCGATATTGTTTCTACCGGAAATGACAAGCAACTGTTGCAATCACGTTGGTTGCAAAAGTGGATGACCCTGAAGGTGACCTACACACCAAATTTAAATTGCTGAAAATTAGTAAAATTAGCAGATCACAGGTACAAAAATGAAAGTACAATGTGTTGAATCTTAACCTACCTAACTAATTAAAACCAAAGATTAGTTAGGTAGGTTCCGTTTCAACACATTGTAGTTTCATTTTTATACCTGTGATCTTGACTTTTTTATCTAGGGGATGAGTACTTAAGGCTAAGGGGGTTAGATTTTGATAAGTTCTTTAGTGGGAATGACACTGATGAAGACTGCACATTGTAGTCGAAATACGTATCTTTCATGGATACCAAAATTAATTAAGTTTGTTGTTGTTTTATAATTTTAATTATTTTCTCCTCCTCCTCCGATGTTGACGGTGGTGCGTACGTACCTGTGACTGTGACGCTAACAGTTTGACCTGTTGGTGTCCAGCAAACCCTTTATGTTACACGCTATGTCCGAGGGGGGCGACACATCTAAATCTCAAGTTAAGATGCTCAACAAATCTCACACTAGCGAATCAATCTTCGAAAAATCTTCTTTCATTTGTTGCATCTACTTGCATCGAGCATCATCTTTTTGCAGGAAATCTTCAGAATCGTCATCAATCTTCTTTCTATCTACTCAGCGTGCGCGCAGCTAGCCACAGCATAGCACAATATTTTCTGCATCGTAGATAGAGTCGTCCCCCTCGGCTATGTCTGAAGGCACTTTTTTTGCAACTTTCATGTACCTCAGATTTTTTTTCACAGGATGTTAAAATTGATCCTAACAATCATATATGTGATAGTTTTAAAATATTTCACCTTGGGTTTTTTAAGAAAAACTGTTATGAAGCTTAAGTGTTTAAATTGTTTGCATTGAACCAAACAAAACTTTAGTTGTATTTAAACAAATAATTCCGGTTGACATTATATTGCATTTTGTTGTTTCAGAAATACTTATTCATATAAATTCAAAATAGGATTCTTTTTGTTGTAATAAGCCACTTTTCAACTGCAACTATTGTAAAAATAACAATATTCTATTATGAAGCCAACAATAGTTCATTTTAATTTAGCATTTATTTGCTGTGTCCATTTTCCGGGCCATGAATGCAAAAATAACTACCAACCATTCCCTCGTATTCAGCAGGACAAAAATGTAAACAATAACAAAACTTGTGAATTTCGGAAAATAAGTGCAAAATTGCCGAGAATCTTGAGACTTGAGGTAAGTAAGTATGCCGCAGTTCGAGCTGCAGTTGCTAAATATAATCAATTTTCTGTTTTTTTCCTTTATTTTTTTCCGTCGATCTTGTTTTCCGTGCTGAGCACCAATGCTACCTGTTGTGTTATATTCGGATACACAATGAAACACATGTTCACGAATCGAGGACTACTTTATTAATCCATTCTTCCTTCCACATTTTATTCTGCTCTACTCGACCCAGTGTTCCCAGATACAACATAACATCTTCTCCCATTCTCAAACAAAATGTAAAGCCCTCCAATCAATTATCAAATTACATCTCATAATCTTTATACTTTACCGGAACCTTTGATTGACGTCTGGGTCGGACTGTACTACCCGTCAGCTCTGTTGAACGAGTTAGAATGTTCTCCGTATCCTCCTCGCCTGCTTCAGCAGATTCTGGTAAATGGTTCTTTTGTATAGAGGTGCATGTGGTTGCTGATGATACTCGGCCATACTTGCTGGAATTTGACGAGCTGGATCCTTGCTGTATATCCACCGAACCCTTGACCGAACCACTCTGGTCGATCGAGTCTTGCGGAATCCTTTTGAGGTGTGAAGAATTTCGCCGATAAATCTCACCTTTTTCTGTTTGGACTATTACGTTGCTTCCATTTCTGTCGATTACCACAGCTGGTTCAGGATGAAAGTTTGGAGCAAGCTTGTTCATTCTGTGTTGCTGCTTCATTAACACCTGGTCTCCAATTCCGATATTCGATTCTTGTGCATTCACTCTTTTGTCACGATACAATTTGGCTTGATACTTATGCATCAGGTCCCGATCTTTAATCTCGTCTTCTAATATCGGGTCTTCACTTATTTGTGGGAATTTATCTCTGAACCTTCTCCCAAACATCAACTCCGCTGGTGATACACCGGTCACGGAATGAGGTGTGACCGTGTACATATATAGGTATTCTTGCAGACATCGCTCCAGCGTTTCTCCTTTCATCTGTCCGATTTTCAAAACCTTCAAAATCGAGCGGTTCTGCCGCTCTACTTCACCATTTGCAGCCGGCCAGTACGGTGTAGTGTGGGCAAGCTTGATCCCGTTATCGACGCAAAAATCCTTAAACTCCTGACTGCAGAAATTGGCTGCGTTGTCCGTAGTCAGTACATCGGGTAGTCCGAGTCGAGTGAATATACGCTCCAAACGCTGTATAACGGCTGCGGAAGTCGTAGTGGACATTATTTCCACCACACAATATCGGCTGTAGTAATCTACCAGTACGAATAGGAATCTTCCACTCGGAAGTGGTCCAAGAAAATCTGCACTCAGGTGGCTCCATGGCTTCGAAGGCATTGTTCGAATCTGCAGTGGTTCCGGATTAGAACCCGTTCCAACGGCTAGGCATTCGATACACTTCTTACATCTCTGCTCCACATCCTTGTCTATTCCCGGCCACCATACGGATGCTCGCAGTCGCCGCTTCATTTTATTGCTGCCTGGGTGACCACTATGAGCAAGATCCAAAATCCTTCCACGGAGACTCTCAGGAACTACTATTTTGTTTAGTCGCAAAATAACTTGATTCACACAGCACAGCTCATTTTGGAACGGCAAGTACTGCTTTAGTTCACAACTCCATTTTCCAGCGTTGATTGCATCGCGAACTTTCCGGAACTCGGCATCATTTTCTGAGTGTTGGATAACTTCTGTCATTGACATCGTGGATGGTAAGGCACTTTCAATCGTGGCACATAGATCACTTTCACAGTCACGGTCATTACTACGACAGCCATCGTCTTGAGCTAATCGGGACAACGGATCGGCTATGTTGCTTTTCCCAGCAGCATACACCAACTTAAAACTATATCCCTGTAGTTGCAGAACCCATCTTTGCTGTCGTGCATTAGGAGCTGAATCGGTGGCGAATATTCTCACCAGCGGCTTATGATCGGTGATCACGGTGAAATATTTTCCTCTCAAGTACATTTCGAAACGTCCGATTCCCCAGTAGATCGCCATCGCTTCTTTGTCTAGCACCGAATACTTCTGCTCCGTTCTTGACAAACTCTTACTAGCATAACTGATCACTCGTCGTTTGTCATTGTCGCTTTGCAGTAACACCGCCCCAAGACCTGTCGCACTTGCATCAACAACTAATGTGGTATCGCTGTCCGCATTGTAGAATCCAAGATGCCGCGGGTTGGACAGAGCATCCTTAATCTCGACGAATGATTTGTTTGCTTCCTTAGTCCATTGGAAGTGAACTCCTTTTCGTATTATTGCACGCAGTGGTGCACTGATAGTGGATAGATGAGGGATGAATTTTCCCACATAGTTAGCGAGCCCTAAAAAGCTACGCACCTCTTCTGCTGTTTCTGGACGCCTGAACGATTTTACTGCACTAATTTTCTGCTCCGTTGGCAAGATACCATCCTCAGAAAGCTCGTGTCCTAGAAACGTCACTCTCTTTTGTCCCCACTGACACTTTCCTTCGTTCACGGTTAATCCATGATCTCTTAGTCGCTTTCTTACCGCAGCTACTCTTCGGTCATGCTCAGTTTTCGTACGCCCAGAAACTAAAATGTCGTCGATGAAATGCACAACTCCTTCCAAGCCCTTAAGGATCTTTTCAAGCTCTCGCTGGAAAATCTCAGCCGCGCAATTCATTCCAAACATTAATCTTTTGAAACGAAAGTACCCCTTAGAGGTGACGAATGTTGTGATTTCTCGCGACTCATGGGTGAGTTCCAGCTGGTGAAAAGCTTGGTTCAAATCGATCTTGGAGAAATATTTACATCCGTTCAAATATGGCATCAATTCCTCGAAAGTAGGCAAGGGGTGTCGTTGTGGAATGATCGCTGTATTTGCCTTGCGCATATCCACGCATAAACGCACCCGACGCCCTCCGTCTTTGGGTGTGACAACCAAAGGAGAAGCCCAAGTGATCTTACCTGTAGCTGGTTCAATGATGCCTTGTTCGAGGAGCTTTTGGATTTCCCCGTCAACAGTCTTCTGCAACGGTATTGGTAGTCGTCGACACGGCTGTTGTACCGGGTAGACATTCCGGTCAATGTTGATTGTCACTAACAAATCCTTTGCCTTTCCAATATTCGCAACTTTGTCTTCCATAACTTGCAACACTTCACAATTAATTTTCAGCACACCAAGATCCACCGATGATGTCTTTCCCAGCAGGCTAGTGTCTTGCCCCTTGATCACGAAAATCTCACTGTGCACCGTCAACGAACACAATGAAACACATGTTCACGAATCGAGGACTACTTTATTAATCCATTCTTCCTTCCACATTTTATTCTGCTCTACTCGACCCAGTGTTCCCAGATACAACATAACACTACCGATGCCAGGGAGGCAGCTCCCACACCTGGACCCTACCTATCGACCCATCAACTCATGAACCGGGGACCAACGGCTTTACTTCCCTTCCGAAGGAAGGCGTGATCAGAGATGTTATGCCTCAGAACATCCCGGCGGCGCCGACTGGGATTGAACCCAGGCTTGCTGGGGTGAGAGGTAATCACGCTCACCACTACACCACCGCCGCCGCTTATTGTTATCAACTTATTTTATTTATTTAAACATCGACAAAGTTACGATATCTTACACGCAGAAAAAAACTATCGTCGTAACAAAAATATTTGAGGTAAATTTAAACGTAAACTCAGTTTGTTCTGGCCACAAACATAAATTAGGTTGATTTCAAACGTATTCCATGTTTGAAGTCATGTGAAATCAATGTTTAAAATAAAAATAATGTTACGTTTATTTCAAAAATATTCGTGTTGAAAATAAACGTATTTATTTTTGTTTGGTTTGACAGCTATGCGAACAATCATAAATATGTTTATTTTAAACATGCTTCTCATGTTTAAAATAAACATACATATTTTGGAATTATTTTAGTAGTTGAGTGCAGGGTAAAGCAAAATGAAACGGTTTGCAAAGAAATGAAAAAAAAAGATCTTCGGGCAGGGCATCTTAATTCCTGCTCTTTTTCGGGTGCGATTAAGGGTGACCTGTGGGTATTGAGGTCCTGGTCCGGGATGCGAGGACCCGTCGGGGTGGGTGTCCGGAGGTTCCAGTTCAGTGGAACCGGTGCAAATTTGTGTTATTAGCGTCGTTTTGCCGTTTCTGCCTCGGTTTCTGCCACTGGTCCTCATACCGGTTTCTTTCCATGTTCGATATCGGAGGAGGATCCGGAATGGATTCGGAATGGATGGCCGTGTTCTGGTAGGTTGAGCAAAGCTGGGGCAACTTTTTCCGAAAGAAACAAGAAGGAAATAAAAAGGCATGACACGCTAAAAACCGTTTATCCAAATCCTATATTGTTTCATTTCATTGAATACTTCATATGTTTAGAGAATAAAAATTTATATTTTTGTTTTAAATGAACAAAATTCGTATCCGTGTACGGTACCGAAAAGAGAATCTTACTGTTCCAGTAAAACGTAGTATTTTGACAACTTTAACCTCCTTTTCAATCATTTTCTGCTCAATTTGTTTCGATCCTCAACAGTTTTGTATCGTCAATAATTATACGCCTTCATAAACGCCTAAGTATACTTCAAAACACTTTTTCTCAAAAAACCCAAGATGAAATATTTTAAAACCTTCACATCATCAATATCAATATCAACTTAATGTGATGAAAAAATTGAGGTACATGAATGTTGCAAAAAAGTGCCTTTAGACAAAGCGTGTGCCCCTTACTGAACCTGAACTGTTCCGGTAGGAGAATGTTGTGTTCCTCGACAAACTTGACTAGCGACTGTTGAACTGTCAAAAATATCTCTTGAAAAACAAATTCTATTATCATGGAAAAAGCCAATTGGGTTGTTAAACTTCGAAAAATATACCGATTTTTATACATCATCTGATAGAGCTTCGCTTTCTGAGCACAACCATATTTTTATCGATCCTGTATAGGCAATCATCTCGATTTTTAAATCAAGATTTAAATTTTTGATCGTTGACACTGAATCTATTCGATGACAGCTCACTCCCATATAAAGTCCCACCAAGGGGCGCTAAAATGGTGATTTTTGCTTATTTAAAATAGTTCCAGTTTACCTAAATTGATGAAATTTTGGATTTGAGTTCCATTTTTAATGCAGATAACGAATATTGTATATATTTACCTCAATACCCCTAAGCAACCCAATTTCGGTAATCGAGAGTGATACAAGTAATAAAGTAATTTTAATTAATTGAAAAGCAATTAGAATAATTTTCGGTAATCTGACTTTTACTGACTGGTAATTAACGCTGGTAGATGTTGGTAGAAACCCCTCGGTTTTTAACGAGGTTTTTAACGACCGTGGCATCGCACAGCTCTGACTATCAAAGCTGTCATTTGAATGGCGTCAACAAACGGTTTTGGCGCGCTTTTGCCTTTGAAGTTACCAGACGATTCGTCTTTGCTTCATCGTGCATCGTGAATTTTGTGTTGTGCCTTATTTTACAAGTTTTCCGTAAATCAGTTGATAAATTGTTAAAAATTACGTTGTCATTCAGTTTAGTGCTGTGTGAAGGAGTTTTACAGGAGTTATAATGGATGTTGCGGATGCGCAAGTGGGACAACTTCGGGTGAAGGATGAAGTTGGAGTGCGGTGTCAAAAATTGTTCCAGGATTTTTTAGAAGAGTGAGCATTTTGTTTAAATTTCTTGAAGGATTTGATTGAACTAATGTAGTTTTGATTAAGATTTAAGGAAGATTGTGAACTAAAGTACCTGAAAGCGGTGGCCGATTTGATCAACCCAGATCGCTCGACCTTGGAAGTTGGATTCGAGGATGTCGAAAAGTACAACCAGAATCTTGCCACCACTATTATCGAAGAGTATTACAGGATCTTTCCATTCCTGTGTCAAGCCGTATCTAATTTTGCCAAAGATCGGACCGAGCTAAAAAAGGAAAAGGAATGTTATGTGTCATTTACCGACGTTCCGACGCGTCATAAAGTGCGAGAATTAACAACTTCAAAGATCGGAACTTTGATCCGCATTTCTGGCCAAGTTGTGCGTACACATCCAGTTCATCCGGAACTTATCTCCGGTACCTTTGTTTGTTTGGATTGTCAAACGGAAATACGAGATGTCGAGCAACAGTTCAAGTTTACCAATCCGACTATCTGTCGCAATCCTGTTTGTGCCAATCGACGACGTTTCATGCTGGAAGTGGATAAATCTCAGTTCATCGATTTTCAAAAGGTTCGCATTCAGGAAACACAAGCCGAACTACCACGAGGTTGCATCCCTCGTTCGGTGGAAGTTATTTTGCGTGCTGAAATTGTTGAAACCGTTCAAGCTGGAGATCGGTACGATTTTACCGGCACACTGATCGTAGTACCTGAAGTCGGTGCTCTTCAGATGCCAGGAGCTAAGGCCGAGATCGGTTCCCGACATAAACACGGCGACAATGCCGTTGAAGGCATTCGAGGGCTTAAAGCACTTGGTGTTCGCGACTTGAACTACAAGATGGCCTTCTTAGCATGCTCGGTACAAGCCACTTCATCCAGATTCGGTGGAACCGATTTGCCAATGAGTGAAGTAACAGCAGAAGACATGAAGAAACACATGACCGACGCTGAGTGGAACAAGGTCTATGAAATGTCTCGCGACCCAAAACTGTATCAGAATTTGATTACCAGTCTATTCCCTTCGGTCTATGGAAACGACGAGGTTAAGCGAGGAATTCTACTAATGTTGTTTGGTGGCGTTGCAAAGACCACCCATGAAAGTAGGTTCATCGTTTATTGGTATCGTATTTTTCTTAAATTGTTTATTTTTTGTAGAAACAACTCTGCGTGGGGACATCAACTGCTGTGTCGTAGGTGACCCTAGCACAGCCAAATCGCAGTTCTTGAAACAGGTGGCTGATTTTTCACCCCGAGCCGTCTACACATCCGGAAAGGCGTCATCTGCAGCAGGTCTCACGGCAGCCGTTGTTAAGGACGAAGAAAGCTACGACTTTGTAATCGAAGCTGGTGCTCTAATGTTGGCCGATAATGGAATCTGTTGCATTGATGAATTTGACAAGATGGATCCACATGACCAAGTGGCAATTCATGAAGCTATGGAACAGCAGACAATTTCGATTGCTAAGGCAGGTGTGCGGGCAACTCTAAATGCCAGAACCTCTATTTTGGCAGCTGCAAATCCCATTGGTGGTCGATACGATCGTTCCAAATCACTGCAACAGAATATCCAACTGACGGCTCCCATCATGTCCCGGTTTGATCTGTTCTTCATCTTGGTTGACGAATGCAACGAGGTTGTAGACTATGCAATTGCTCGAAAAATCGTTGACTTGCATTCAAACATCGAAGATCGTATCGATCAGGTTTACACGCGGGAAGATGTTCTGCGCTATATCATGTTTGCCCGACAGTTCAAGCCGATTATCACAAACGAAGCGATGGAATTGCTGGTAGAAAACTATGGTCATTTGCGACAGCGTGATACTGGTACATCTGGTAAGAGCACATGGCGAATCACTGTTCGTCAGCTGGAGAGCATGATTCGCTTGAGTGAAGCAATGGCTAAGCTTGAATGTTGCGAGGAAGTTACGGTAAAGCACGTTAAAGAATCCTATCGTCTATTGAACAAATCCATTATCCGTGTCGAACAACCCGATATTCATCTGGACGATGAAGAAGATGCAGAACTGGCGTTGGCAATAGATGCTGAGGAAGGGACTCCGCAGCAAGATAGCCATGAAGAAAATGGTCATACGGAGAACGGTCATGATGCTGCTTCGAAAAAAAAATTGACTCTATCCTTCGATGAGTATCGAAACCTGTCCAACATGTTGGTCATTCACATGCGTGGTGAAGAGGCACGGTTTGAAAGTGAGGAGTCACAATCAGAGGGAGTCAAGAAGTCCGATCTGATAAACTGGTACCTGGAGCAAGTTGGCGAGCAGATTGAGACTGAAGAAGAACTGGTTGAACGGAAAACTTTGATAGAAAAAGTCATCGACCGATTGATTTACCATGTATGATTCTGAAAATGGTCTTTTATCACAGTTTTATCTAATCTACCTTCTCTATTCCACAGGATCAAGTAATCATTCCATTGAAGACGGCCACTTTCGGTGAAAAAGAAACGCAAGAAGAAGATCCTCTTCTAGTCGTACATCCAAACTACATAGTTGAGACGTAAGTCCTGCGGGTACTGTTTAAATTACTATTGGTAGATGTTCATGAATGAACTTTCTTTACTGCTTTTTAATTGTAATTTACAAATAAGACAAGTTTTACCGTCAACGTTTAAATTTAGTAGCTAAGATCCGAATATCCATTACACAGCGTTTAGTTTCTAATAAACCGTCACTTGCGAGTTGCGAATCATTAGGGGCTATTCATAAACTGCGTAGACAGATGTTTAGAGGTTTAGACCCCCCTTCCCCCGCGTAGACATTCGTCCAAACATTTTTTTTAAATTTGTATGGACCGTAGACATTTGTCAACCCCCCCTCCCCCCTCCTAAAGAGCATACGTAGTTTATGAACAGCCCCTTATTGGAGATATGCGGGCCGAATGTCAACTAAATATGCAATTAGCCGATTAAGTACGCTGTTATTCGGCTAAATAGTAACCGAATATAGGGGAAGGTGTTGTCAACTTAGTTTATTCTACAGAAAATGTTTGTTTCTTCTTAATATACAAAATGTTCATCCTGCATTCATTAAGGGAAAGTTTATTGCCCCGAGAATTTTTTTTCCGCCACGTTTTTATTTTTGTAAAATTTTTGGAATAAATTTTTAAAAAATCCAAGCAAATCAGTTTTTCCTTAGATTCCTGGATAAAAATTACACGTAAAAATTTTGTTTTTATCTCATCTTGAAAAAAATTTGATCCTCAGCAAAACCGAACAGTCGATGTTTTGTGGTTTTTTTTAGTCCAACTTTATGCCATGATGATTAATAAAAAATGTTTTTGCACGTAAATTTTGTTTGAAAAATTAGAACAAAATGTGGTGTTTTTAGATTTTTGATATCTTTTTCCAATATTTTTAGAAACATTAAAACGTACTAATTTTTTTCGGTGCGGTGAACTTCCCCTTAATGCCATTCATACACACCTTATTTTTATTGCCAAGATTGGCACCACCACCACATCGGCATTTTATTTTGCTGGATCTCGTTAAAAAAAAGTTCTTCATGAAAACAGCATAGTGCTTAGATCTCATTTTGGGCCTACTAAGCATCACAACACGCCCTTTGCCTCTATTTTTCTAGTGAATTTTTTTTTTTCACAAAATGGAATATTTTCACTGCAGATGACTTCTAAATTTGTTTACCTTTCGTAAGAATTGATAAAGAGAAACAAGTTGTTGAGATATTGTTGAAAATCTAGTACGACTTCATGACACTAAACTCGGCCTACGGATTCTAAATCAGGACTAATCAGGGTGACTCTATCCCTGTCTACCACATATAAATGCACCGTAGTTCTCGCGTAACATTTGAAAATGGCTTATCATTTTTTGTTAACAAAACTTGCTAGGATCCATACGCTCGAAGCGAAGTACGCCCACGCAAACAAACAACATCATCTGGTTGGGGGAATTCGCCCGATTCGTGCGTATAGGTTCTAGTAAGTTTTGTTTACAAAAGTTGATAGGCCCTTTTCAAATGTTAAGCGAGATGTTCACATGATTTTGACTGACAGCGGTAAAACTGACCGAGGTTGACAGAACAATACATTTTACTCTTTCACACTTGCATCGCAGTGCAGAATGCTAGAAAGAGTAGTCTTATGCAGTCATCCTAACCCCTATATTCATCACATTGATGTGAGCTACGACGAAATGCTTGATTGTTGCCCCCGTGGGCCTAATGCATTGAAACAGGAGACTGGCAACCCCATATCAATCCTTTACGTTTGACAGTAGGCAAGAACACGGGCCTTATTTAATTACGGCCCGCCTGACGTATACATGAAGGACAGGGACGCAAAATCGTGTTGTTAGCAGAAAGACAAGAGCAGATGAAAGCATCAAAAACATGGCCGCCAGCCAGGCCCCTGCATTGAAACGCCATTGAATTCACTTCGGCTTATCGGATGAAGATAAAAATTGATTCGGTCGGAGCGTTTCTTTTGTGCTTGAGAAAAATGGGTGCACACCTTCATATCACGCGTTCTCATTGACTTCGTTCGTTAGCTTTTGAACTAAAGTATCGTACCAAACGCATAATTGATTTGCTAACTCTGAAACAATGGATTTATTTTATGTTTTCTGCTCGATAGGCCAAAAAAAGGCGATTACGCCGAAGTAGTGCTCAACCCTATATGTTTACCGGCGGTTTGCTAAGATTTATTTATTTATTTATTTATTTATTTATTTATTTATTTGTCGTCAATCAGTGTAGACCGTTTTACAATTGTTGTCTTAAGTGCTATTTTTACAATTTTGTCTTTGTTTATATTTTTTATAATATGTCTTAAGAAAAAGTTAAAACATTACTTCTAGTTGACGTTATGCGACGAATTAAAATATTGCTTTAATTTAGTTTTTGTCATTGTAAAGTCAATGTTATCGCAGTGCTTATTATATGTATCCATCATTTGGTTCAAGGGTCCAAATTTGGCATAATTCGTACGATGACGATTTGTAGCAAATATATTTCTGTTTCGTAAATGCCTAGATGGTGTATATAAATTTAAGGATGACAATAGTTCTATTGAATCAATTCGATGTGATACGATATCGTTTACGAAAGAAATCATAGCAAATTCACGACGTTCTTTTAATGTTTGGATATTTATGAGCATACACCGAGCTGTGTAAGATGGCAGAGGAAATACAGTCCAACCTAACTTGCGGAGTGCATACAATAGAAACTGCTTTTGAACGGACTCTATTCTTTCTTCGTGTGTGATTGAAAAAGGTGACCAAACTATGCTGCAATATTCTAATATCGACCTTACATAAGCAATGTACAATGTTTTTATCGTATACGGATCGTGAAAGTTATAGCAGAAACGTTTTATGAAACCAAGCATGTTGTTAGCTCTGTTAATAATTGTGTTATAATGATCGGTGAAAGTAAGTTTTGAGTCTAAAATAACACCTAGATCCCTGACTCTATCACACTTTTCTACGATCTGGTTTCCTAAAGTGACTGTTATATCGGGTAGCTTTTGTTTTCTACTAATGGTAATGGAGTTACATTTTTTTATATTTAATTGTAGCAGGCTTTTTTGACACCAAGTATGGAATATTTGAATTTCTTCTTTGAATGTGATGATGTCTTTGGCATCTTTTATTTCTAAAAAAAGTTTGATGTCGTCAGCATATATTAAAACTTTCAATTTCTTAATAATGAAAGATATGTCATTGACGAAGAGAATAAATAAAAGTGGTCCTAAATGGGAGCCTTGAGGAACTCCTGAAGTGACATCAACGGGATTTGATATCTTTCCTTTGTATTTTACTATTTGATGACGGTCAGTTAAATATGATTCAAGCCATTTGAGGAGTGCGTAATGAATTCCCATTTTTTGAAGTTTAAAAAGAAGCATGGGTATGTCAATTCGATCAAACGCTTTGCTGAAATCTGTATACAACTATTCTACATGGTTTCCGTTATCCATTGCATTCAAGGAATAGTTAATTAATTCGAGCAAATTCGTAGTTGTTGAACGGCCTTTAAAGAAGCCATGTTGCATAGTAGTTATTCTGTTTTTAATTTGAAGAAAGAGTTTTTCATTTACAATCGCCTCGAAAAGTTTCGGAATGCAAGAGATAATAGCTATACCACGATAATTACGTATGTCGGATTTTTTACCCGATTTAAAGATAGGCACTAAAAACGAGTTTTTCCATATTTTAGGGAAGTTTCCGGATTCCAGTGACATATTGAAAATCCAAAATAATGGAGCAGTAAGTTCAATTGCTAAAGTTTTCATAAAAACTGGCGGAACACCGTCAGGGCCAGGACCTTTAGATGCATCTAAATTGTTTAAACCCTTTAAGATATCATGAACCTTGATTTGACTTACGCTGATGTCACTTGAAAATTCTGGATATGATTCAAAATATTCACGGTCACGGTCCTCTTCTGAAAACGTAGTATATATTTCTTGGAAGAAATTTGCAAACAAATTGCATATATCATCCGAGTTCTCACCTATCCTATCGTCCAAATGCATCTTTGAGGGAAAATTATCAGATTTTAATTTGGTTTTCACATAATTGAAGAAGTTTCTAGGACAAGATTTTATTTCAAGTTCAGTTTTTAAATTATACTCCTCAAATGCCATATTCACGGCCAAATTTAACTGATCGCAAATGTCTAAATAGTATGCCAAAGTTTCTTCACTATTATATTTTTTATAAAATTTGTGCGCTTTTTGCTTTCGATTTTTTAAATTTTTCAGTTCCCTGTTGTACCAAACTGGATGTTTTGCATGACTCTGACGTCTTCTTCTTTTAGTTGGCACTTCTTCAAGAATTATTTCAAGCAACACATTGTAGAATACGTCAACTGCACATTCAACATTTCCTGCAGTTCTTAATATTGCTTGCCAATCGACAATGTTCAATCTATTTCTAATGTTATCATAATTTGCTGAATTGTAATCAAAGATTTCATCAAATTCGCAGTAGTTGGTTCTTTCATTTATGTGAACGAATAGAGAATACTCTATTGCTGTGTGAAACATTTCATTTCTCCATATGGGACTTAACGATTCAGTCACACAGAAATCTTCATAAGTATTTGTTAATAAAAGGTCTAAATAACAATTTTGTTGATTTTTCACATGGTTAATTTGATAGAGTCCTAAATTTGCAATTTTGTCAAAAATGAAATGGAGTGTTTCATTTTCCCCAACGACTGGAAGTAAGATGCTTTCATTGTCCATATCAGAAATAAAGTCAACATTGCGTTGGTTAAAGTCCCCATATATATGAACTTTTACTTCAGGGGGTAAACTAGACAAAATTTCTTCCGCTTTTCCAAAAAACTTATCATACGTGTCCTTATGAGCATTGTTTGGAGGAAAGTATACCGAAGCAAAAACATGTGTTTCGTCTGCTACCTGCGCTTTTACCCATACATGTTCGAATTCTTTAAATTTAGTAGCCATAATAATTTCTGAATTCAATTGGGTCGAAATCGCTATTAATACTCCACCTCCCGATTTTTTCCAGACCATTGAAAATTGCGGTCGTCTCTATAAACGTTATAATTGTTACCAAAAACTTCTTCACTTCTCACACTATCATCC